GTAACAACCCAGTAAGGTAGGAACTTGTTATTCTTACGCATGAGGAAACAGGCTTAGAGTCATTAAGAAATTTGCCCAAGATAAGAGTGGCAGATCTGGGATTTGAGCCCACGCAATCTGACTTCAAAGCCTGCATTTAAATCTCTATGCCTTACTGTCTCCAATCAGGAGGATTAGGTACTTTATTGCATGTGAGATGGAGGAAGGGGAATAAAAGGAATGGGAGGAGTATTCCAGATTAGACAGGTAGATGAAAGAGGGGGGCCTCACCAAGATGAGGACACGGGAAAAGGAGTGGTTTTGGAGAGAAGCATGATGATTTGGTTGTGAACATGTTGATAGGGCACATCCAAGTAAGATGTCTGTTATATGGTTTGATGTTTAAGAATTTGGAGCTTCAGAGAAAATGATTGAGGCTAAAGAAGATTTGGAGCAAACCGTATCTAGGCAGCAGAGGAGCATGTGGGCAGCAGCAGGCGGGGTGAGATCTTCTAGAGAAGAAAATGAGCAGAGAAGACCAGTAGGGATAGATTCTTAGGGACATGCAACATTTAAGGGACCCGTGAAAGAACGCTTGAATGAGAGAAAGAAATAGTTTGCGTGATGGTAGGAGAACAAGGAGAGAGTGGGTCACAGAAACCGAAGGAGGACAGAGTGTGATGAAGGAGGGATGGGAGCAGTGCCAATGCAACAGAAATCATATAAGGTAAGAACTGAAAGTTACCGTAGCATTTAGCAATTAGGTCAGTGTCAAACCAGCTGGTGATAATGCTGAATGTTGCAGCCACTTTGGAAGACAGTACAGGTCCCCTCCCCCACCACCCGAAAGTAGAGCCTTCCTATGTATCTTATTGTAAGCTGAAATAGAATAAAGCGAAGAAGCAATTACTTTAGGACACATCTTGCTGATGGATGCTTTTTGTGTTTTTTCATAAAAGCATACATCCTCTTTGGATTTCTTTCTATTAGCAAAAACAGATACTAACGTAGGTCTTTTGTAGAAGTGAAGTGAGATAAAGTGAAAAGCAGAGGTGGGTTGAAGGTGGGGAAATGCCTGTATAACAGTTTCTTACAAAGCTAAACATTGTCCTACCATATAATTCAGCAATTATATTCCTTGGTATTTACCCAAATGAGATTAAAATTTACGTTCACACAAAAACCTGGACACGGATGTTTATAGCAGCTTTCTTCGTAATTGCCAAAACTTAAAAACATCCAAGACGTCCTTCAATAAGTGAATAGATTAACTGTGGCACATCCATACAATGGAGTATTTTTCAGTTATAAAAAGAAATGAGCTATGAAGCTATGAAAAGACATGGAGGAGCCTTGCGTGCATACTATTAAGTGAAAGAAGCCAGCCTGGAAAGGCTCCATACTGTGTGATTACAACTGTATGACATTCTTGAAAAGACAAAACTACAGAGAGAGTAAAAAGATCAGTGGTTGTCGGAGGTTGAGAGGGAGGGAGGGATGATTATGTGAAGCATTAGACCAGTGAAACTATTCTGTGTGATACTGTAATGGTGGATACATGTCATAATACACATTTGTGCAGCCCCATAGAACTGTATACAACACAAAGAGTGAACTCTAATGTAAACCATAGACTTTAGTTAATAATAATGTATCGGTATTGACTCAGCAGTCATAATAAATGTACCACACTAATGCAAGGTGTTATTATAATAAAGGAGAAACTGGTGGACGGAACGGGGGGGGGGTTGGATAAGGAAGAGGTTATGGGAGACGGGCTATATGGCAACACTTTGTACTTTCTGCTCAGTATTTCTGTAAACCTGAAACTGCTCTAAAAAAATAAAGTCTATTAATTAGTAAAATAAAACAGAAGGAAAGAAACAAAGGAATGAAAGAAGAAATGAAGGAAGAGAAAGAAAGCCATGTGTATACAATCTTGAAAGTGTATCATGAACCCATAATTGTACTTAATCCAATGCTGTGTGCTTGGGTTCCAAGTAGAGCAAAAATCTGACCAGTCTCTCTTCTGCTTACCGACTTCTAGGGCTCCTCACCACAGATACAAGATTCAGTTCAACATCGCTGGCTTTGTGAAAGTCTTTCCATATCCCGACTTTGCAGCCGCATCTCTGGCCAATGCCCATGCACTATATGAGCTCCTGCTGCCAGCCTCTTTGACCCTCTTTCCTACACGTGGCACGCACTTTCAGACCATTCTGCTTTTGCTCTGGCTGTTTTCCTCTGCCTATGTCCTCCCCCACTTCTCTGCCTAACAAAATCCTACACATCCACCAACACCCAGCTCAAATGCTACCTTGCTGACTCCTTTCACCCCCAGCACACCAAGCAAGAAATCTTCAGAGCTCTCTCCCAATTTCTATAGCTCTTTGTGCCCATCTCTTCAATAAAGGCTTAATACACCACAAAATCACCAACAACATCGACAACAGACAGTTTAGTAGGAAAATTGGGGGCAGAAAGAAGCCATATCAAAGCAGATTTAAGGAGTGAGTAGGAGTTGAGATATGGAAACATAGAAGGTAGACTACTTTCTGTGGATTGGTTTTATTGTAATTTGGTATTTCTTGGTTTGTCTCTAGTATTCATGGTTTTTCTCAACAGGGGTTGAGGGTAATGAGAAGAAAATCCCCACCCCCACCCCCTCGGTAGCTGTGGTGCTGTCCAGTGCTTGGGTGCTGACAGAGCTGTGTCACTGGGCAAGCGCTCTGGAGATCAGTAATTCTTCCAGCCCCAGGAGCTGTCATCCTCTATTTTTGGGAGGAAGGGCAAGAGGATAATGACTACACCCCGCAACCCCCATTGTGATCTCTTGGGTGTTCTGGAACCACAGCCTGCCTCACCTGTGGGGAAAGAAAAGAGGTTAGCTGACTGGGTTGGTACCGCCTCTATTTCTTGTGGGATCTGCAGGCTTTTGAAGACCAATTAATGATTAGAAAAAGCAATCGACTACTAGTTTTTCTGTTATCCACTTACGAGACATTAAAGGCCATGTTCCAGGAACCAGGCCAGGCACTGGAGATGTAAGATAACCAGACAGGTTTTTTGCCCTTGAGGAGTTCATTCCTACCAGGAAGACCAACCTTGACCCCATGCCAGCAGTTACATTGTGAAGGAAGCTCATAGCTTAGGCTGCCGTTAACACGACACCATAGGCTGGGTGGCTTAAATGAGAGGAATTTATTTTCTCACAATTCTGGAGGACGAAGTCCCAGATCAAGGTCTAGTAGGGTTTAGCCACTTTCTTGCTATGCCCTCATATGGCTTCTCCTCTGAGCAGGAGGTGTGGAGTGGGGGCTTGAAGAGAGAGAGAGAGAGAGAGAGAGAGAGAGAGAGAGAGAGAGAGAGAGAGAGAGAGAAGAGAGAAAGAGTACAGGGAGACTCTTTGAGTCTCTCTATAAGGACACTAATCTTATCAGATCAGGTTCCCACCTTAATTTGTGTTTTACCTTAATTTGCTCATAAAGGCTCTACACATTTCCAAATACAGTCACACTGAGGGTTAGGACTTCCGCATATGGATTGGGTGGGGGCAAAATTCAGTCTATAGCAAGAACTTGTAGAAAACTGTAGGATCACCGACGAGGGCACACTCATGCTGTCTAGCCTAGGGCAAGATGGGGGACAGCAGAAAGCCCAGTGATGGCTTAGTCTGGATTTTGAGCATGTGGGACATTTGCTGTGAAGTGTGAGTGCCCAGCCCCAACTTGGAGGCTCTGGCGAGCTGGCAGTACCAGGTGGCCAACACGTGATTATTGTCCCATGTAGAAAGGGAGGTCTTTACATCACAAGCCTCTTGTCAGTCACTGCTTTATTCAATGGTATGTCCTGTGCCTCCAATATTATTTTTGCATTTGTTAGCAAACTTTTCTTGATGGTAGCGCATGTCAAAGGCCTCCTGAAAGTATCCAGATATCAGTCAACTTTCACTGCAACAGCCTCTAAATGCCTCCTTGCAAAGGTGGTTATTTCAGATTCAGTAACTCCATTCAAAAGAGCACAGTTCCCGTACTCGAGATGGCCCAAGAAGTAAGCATACACGTTCCTGTGCAGTGGTGGGTGTGTAAAATGCGTCCTAGGCTTGCCCAAAAGGTGCATCTCTGCCCCTGTCATTCCCGTGTTGTGCAGCTAGCACTCGTGGACACCAGGCTCTGCGAACAATCAGTGTCATAGTATCCTCATTGATAGTCCTGTGTTGAGGGTCCCTACTTGTGGAATACATATTCTCAGAAGAGGGAAATGTCCCAGAGACTTTGAGAACATGAACCACTCCTTGCTTCATACTTCTGTGGCATTCAGTTTACATTTCTCTCCTGGCATCTGGTCTTTTGAGCCCTGATCGAGGCTTATCAAGGCCAGGTGATACGTTTTGTCCAAGTAGGGAGTGAGTCACCTCTCTGTTCTAACCCCACTTGTCCTCCAGGGGTGATTGCAGCGTCCCAGTAGTGATCAATTTTGGATAAACTAGTACGAGTGTTGCGTATTGAAAATAAGCTTACCAGGCTACTGGCACTCTGTAGCCCCGATGGAATTCAGTTTCTCTGCAATGCACTGGCCTGAATCCCTGGCTGGTCTCCTGCCCTTAGTGTAAACTAAATAATGGCTAGAGCAGACTCCCAGCCTATCACCCACAGGAACTACCACCCTCGGCGAAATGGGGGCAAGGCTTTGGGCAGAGGGGTCCTTTCTGTGATTGCTCCAGTTGGGAAGTTGGTTTTCTGTTGCTTCAGTGAGTGGGCTGGAGGACACACCTGTAGCATTTAGGGTCATTGACTGCACTTGAAATGGCTTTGCCCCCAGTTTTCTCCCTTCACCCGTCTCTCCAGAGGAGGGTTTGTGAGACAAGCTGTGGGTTTACCAAGGCCGGGAATGGCAGCTCCGCTGGCCCCTTGTCCCTGTGCTGCTGCAGTCACTGTGCTGGAACTCTCTGCTGAGGCGGGTGGAGTACTTGGGTCTCCGCTGTTCCCCCAGTGTGAGCGTTTATTTCCCTGTTACCATAAAGGCAGTTTATTACAGAGTTTGACCCTTGCCGCCTTCTTCCTCCCTTATAACATGCACATTGCATTACGCTGAAAGAATGCACACTCCGGTTTCTCTGTCTTCCCAGCATCATTCAAAAGCATTCCGCCCATATGTGAATGATTCCCTGACACTTCAATCAGGGCAGTGTTACAAGTCCTCTGCCGGCAGGAGGGAGCACTCCAACAAAATCTGAAGACCCAAAATTTGTCAGAAGCGGTGACAAGCAGACCAGGAAACCACAGAACACTGTGAACTGAATGGATGACTTAATAAGCTTGTAGATGTGATTTGGCCAGTGTTGATAGAGGAAGCTCAAGGGGAAAAGGCAGCAAGCATTGTAACGTAAATCACTGCAGACCCACTGGGCGTGACAGCCCTAGGAAGCCAATGATCTCTCCAGGAAAGAACTGACTGCAGTTATCCAGCAACAGAACTCGCTGTAGAACAGGGGAGGACAGACCCCCGGATGTGAGTACAGTCTCTCTTCAGTACAGGATTTGAAGCATTGGGAGCAAAGTGAGTTACTGTAACTGATGGTGCTCCGTGACCTCTGGTGCCTGGGTGCCTGTGGATCCTCTCTGGGGGGTTGTGCATAATGCCTGGCCGGGACTTTTGTTTGCAGGTCTCTTCTAGAATATTTTGCCTGAATGTAATGGCTTTGGGATATGGGTACCAGGAGACTTTGTTGCCAGTCTTGAAGAAAATAGCAGAAGCAAACCTCCTAGACCTTTTGCTATACAAAAAAACCCCAAAACCGATCGCATCTCAGACCAAGCAGCTGTGGGGCCCTCTGGCATTTGTGATGGAAGACAAAAGCATTGGCAAATTGGAGAGCAAAGAAAATAAGGCAGTGGGCTGGGAGGAAGGAGGGGATTCTGTCTAGGAAGCTAAATCCCTTTCTGGATTCAGGATGCTCGTTGCATATTTATGATCGTGCATTTATTTCATTTCTGCTTAAAGAGCTGGCAGCATGTTTTGCATTTAAGGTTTTTCCTCCAGAATGCTGTGAAAGTGAGCATCGTGACAAAGAGGGATGTGACTGATAGACTTGGGCAGAAGAAGTTTCTCGCTGCCAGCAATGGGAAGTGTGTTGAATGATAGCTGATTTCCTTGGAAGAGGAGGCTGGGATGGGATTTAATGAGGGAACAGGGCTGCTACAGCCTGGGGACCCAACAGGTTGGCAGCGAAGTTTAACTCGTTCATTGTAGACTGCTTACCACCCCTTTCTTCCCCTCCCCTTCCCATTCATTGTTGGGGGTTCTCCACCCCTCGTTATCCCTCTCCCCCAGCCCGCCTCCACCTGGCCTGATTTGTCAGTTCAGAGGTATCAGATGAGAAGCTGAGTAGCCCGGCACTCCAAAAGGATGGGGATCATTGTTCTAGATGGGAGGTAAGGATACCAAGGATTTAGGGCAGTGATCATGAGAGATGTGGGGAGGTATCTGAGCTGGGCCTGCACTCCCACTCAAGGCTAGAGGTGTAGGAGAAATAGAAAGGAAGCAGGAAAGAGGGCTCAGTCACTTTCATCCCTCCCCACCTGCCCTGTGCATAAATGCAAGTGCAAGTAAATGCTAGAAACCCTAGAGCAATGAAGCTATTACTGGATTTAAATTGAGAATGAACTTGAGATACGCAAGTATACAGGAATGGTGCTAGCAGCAGATGAGGAGCTGGTGACCTGGGATTCTGTTCCAGAATTTGCAGGCAATTTTCTGTGCGATGGGTGGGAGTGGGGTGGAGGAGTGTATCCCAAATCCTCCACTGACCTATCTGCCCTGTGCCTGGGGGGTGGGAAAAAGGTGGACCTGAGCCGGTGGGGTGGGGTGGGTGGGGTAGGGAGTGGAGAACATTTCATTCTTAAGTAGCTGTTGCTGAAAAGCAGAGAAAAATGATATTTCTGTTTGGCCAACGTTTTGTCATAGCTGTAGTGTTTCTCCAGCTTAAAATAAAAAGAAATAGTAATGTGTGCTAGACTTGTAAAGGGCTGTTTACCGAAGGTAATTATGTAAACAAGGCTATCTCAGTAGCTTTCAACCATGGCACAAACTGTAGCTGTGCTTTCATTTCGGTGTCTGAGAGACTGAATTTGTTGCATGTGACAGGAGGGTGGGAGGGGAGTGGTTAGCAGTGTGCTACAGGCCTATTGACTTGTGCATCTGTTGCTGGGGAGACTGGACAGCACTGCCAGTCTGGAGCTCATGACTTTAGTTGGTGGCGGGCACTGAGGTTGCAGCAAGCTCTCTCTCCCTGGGAGCTAAGCTATGGAGTGGAATGAGTAAAATCTTAGCCATGATAACAATATTTGTATGAACCAGGCTAATATACTTGAGACATTCAAATGCCCATTGCAGGGTAGATTTGGTAATGGGAGGGTGGTGGTTTAGGTCAAGTGCACAGAGATAACAAAAGTAGATGGAGAAGAATGTGGTTGTGGCAGGGAGATCATTCAGGAAGCCATGGCTAGTATTGTGTATTTTCCTGCCATTTGGGTCTGGAGCTGCTTTTGCAGTGTTGGGGCAAACAGAGCAGCTTAATGTAATTGGTTTGAAGGTATCACAGTTTCCCTGGATAAAGACTGTGTCCTGTGTTCCCCAAAACAAACCACTTCCGAACAGGGGATAGTCTGGCAAACATAAAGCCCAAGCTACAGTCTTTCAGTACGATCCTGGGAATTTCCAAAGGCATTTCCAGCTCATTTCTCTCTGCTTTGAGTCTCAATTTTATTCTGTCATTGGCTCATTCATTCAGCAAGGATTTCTGGCACATTCCAGGGATCTCTGACCATGGCGAACGGAAGAACCTCTGCCTTGGCACACATCTCTTCTCCAGGTGTCTTGTGCTTCTAAGGAGCCTGGTGACCAGAGCAGGATGGCTTGTGAGGGTTCCTTCTTTCTGTTTTCTTGTGATTCTTTACCTGCATTTTGGGCATTTTGGACTACAAGAAGAAAATTTGATAATTCATGAGTTGGGGAGAGAGAAGAATTCTTTCTGAAGTTATAATACTTCACATTTGGCCAATATTTTCACACGATAAAATACCATCTTTAATCACCACCACAGTCCTGTTGTTATGTCTGTGTTATGTCTGAGCATTTAACCCCAGCTTCCCAGAGCAGCATGCCTGGATGTCATGGTGAATGTGAGGTACAACGTGGTGCAGTCCAGACCTTTCCCAGTCAATTCCTTAATCTTTAGAGATTGAAAGGAGAATTGGGTTTGCCTGGAAGCAACTGTAAGAGATGTCTGTATGTTCTGGGCCTTCAAACTTAGCATGGGAGGTAGGAAGGGTCTGGAATGAAGAATGGTGCTCTTTTGGTACAGCATTGTTTTTCCTTTTGTGTATGAGGTCTGACAGTTAAGTTTGTGAACTTGTTGCAACGATGTTGCTCACCTTTTTTGATACCAGAGGGTTTATTCATTAGGAATATGTACCAACTAGACAAATAGTTAACCAAGTTTACTGTTTGGAAGTGCTGAAAAGGCTACATGAAAAAGTTAGACAACCTGAACTTTTCGCCAACAATTCATGGCTCTTGCATCATGACAATGCACCAGCTCACATGACACTGTCTGTGAGGGAATTTTAGCCAGGAAACAAATAACCGTATTGGAACACCCTCCCTATTCACCTGATCTGGCTCCCAATGACTTCTTTCTTTACCCGAAGAGAAAGGAAGTATTGAAAGGAAGACATTTTGATGACATTCAGGACATCAAGGTTAATATGATGATAGCTCTGATGGCCATTCCAGAAAAAGAGTTCCAAAATTGCTTTGAAGGGTGGACTAGGCACTGGTGTCAGTGCATAGCTTCCCAAGGGGAGTGCTTTGAAGGTGACTATAGTGATGTTCAGCAAGGAGGTAGGTAGCACTTTTTCTAGGATGAGTTTGTGAACTTAATTGTCTGCCCTTGTATATTGGTGTTTTTAAAAAGTATGTTTTAAAAGTCAAAGAAGTGCTCACTTCCTTGGTGTCCTAGCAGGAGTGGATCAGATCCTTAAGCATTACTTCTGTTACCCAAAGAACCCTTCACCTCTGAAATAATTACCACTGGCTCTGGTTTGGCATAAACTTGGCCCAGGGCTACTAGGAGGAGTCAGTTTTTAACATTCCATTCATTTGGCCATTTGGTGGAAAGAGCAGAAGTTTGTTGGTTAAAACCTCTAGCCACTGCTCTGAATGGCCTATAGGTGGTTTTTTTAGGCCATTTATTTCCCTTTTCTTAGGCAGAGAGGCTACACTACGAGCCCCTCCCAGTGTAGTTGGCAGCTCACACTGTCAGTGTGTCTAGCATCCGTGTTGTTCCCAAGGTGGGCTGTTCCAGCAATCACTGGGCCTGTGCCCAGCTCTCCATCTGTTCCAGAGCTCAGGAAACTGCACTATTTGCAGTGAGGAAAAGATGGAGGAAGAGAACTGCAGTAAATGCTGGGAGAAAATCCCAAGGAGAGAACTCACTCCTCAGGGTCTCTGGGGTGTGCTCCATGGGCACCTAGCCTGCCAGGGGAATCGGCATGTCAGCCGTGGTAGAGCCACAGAGCACGGACCCGAAAGCCCTTTGTGATCATACATAGTACAGTTACCTGCCCAAGGTGGGTCTGGAAACCAGATGGTGTTTAGGGGATTCTATTAGGCCTCTGCTGCCCCGCCCAGAAATGTAGAGCAGACCTCCCAGTTCTGGCCATGGTCCTCCAGAGAATCCAGAGTCCCCTAAGTGGGTAGAAAGGAGAGAGGTTGGCACTGCTGCTGCCTTCTACTTGTAAGTTCAAGTGCTTTGCTGTGCAGTGCCCTCCCCGCTGTCCTGTCTCCCCCAACTCCACTCCCCTGCCATGAGCAATCAGCAGAGTACCCTAAAATCAGAGAGAAGAGGGGCAGCCTGTCCTGTGTGCTGAGTGGCACTGATGGCAGCTTTGTTTTGTAACCCTTAGGTCCTGAAGATGGCATAGTAATAGAGGCATCTTTCAATGATCGGGAACGTCTTCCCCGTGGGTGCCAGCCCAGGCCAGTGGTGTCGTGTGGAGCTGAAGGGACGTGTCTACCGCTCTCTGGAAACCTCTTTCTCTCCTAATTCATGAGCCAGCAGGATGCGGTCGCTGCACTCTCAGAACGCCTTCTCATAGCCGCGTACAAAGGCCAAGCAGAGAATGTGGTTCAGCTCATCAACAAGGGCGCCAAGGTAGCGGTTACCAAGGTAACAAGAGGGGGAAAAACGCTTTAGCCATCTCTGGGAAAAAGCCTACCTCTTAACCATTGTCCGAAAAACTGTTGTGTTTGGTTTGCAGCTTTCAAAGAATTGGCTTTTTTTTTTTTTAGTGATGAGCGTTTGGGGAGAAGGAAGGAGGATTAAAAATGCTTTCATTGCGATCTTTCGCAATGGAGTAACTTGTAATTAGCATTTGACAGTCCTTTAAAATCACAGTGCAGCTTTTTTTCACCTACTTCTTCAGCCCAATGGACAGGAGCGCTCTCTGGAGAAGTTGCAATACAAAAGTTTATTGGGTAGAGTGTTTGTGTGATAATCACAGGCCTCCTGGGATGGTGGACCAGCTTGTGGATGGGGCAGGCCTCTGCTGTGAAGCACCTCATTGTCCTCGTCTGTACAATGACAGACTTGGACCAGAACACTGCCTCTTAGGCTTTAGTTTCACATGGGTCAGTGAAAAGGTGTGGGAAGTGTTGGAGGACATTGCTTACCCCTCACCAACAGGTAACACCATAGTAGACACGAGAACATATGGGCCAAAGGGCAGCCATGTAGCAAAGCTGAACACAGACAGGCTCTGCACAGTGAAGTGACACATTTCAATACAGAGATACAGTAACGCTGATGGCAAACACTTATCCAGCACTTAGTATTGCTTTGAGCACTTTACAGTCCTCTAGAAGAGGTTCTCTTTTCATCTCCACTTTAGAGATGAGGAAACTGAGGCACAAAGGGATTTTAAATAACTTCCCAGGGTTCCTCAGCTGCTGAGAGGCAGAACTAAGTGCAACTTGTACCCATGGAGTCTGACTCCAAAGCCCACCCTCCAGGCCACCCCAGAGAGAGCCATGGAGAAAGGCAACGTTTATTTTTCAAATAGTAACCTCCGCTAACTTCTGGCCTCCTGTGGCAAAGACTGGCCAGCTCACATTTTTAGTTACTTATATGCAGTCTCTGTGTTTCTTTCTTTTTTTTTTTTTTTTAAGATTTTTATTGGGGAATTGGGGGGATGGGAACAGTGCTGGGGAATTGGGGAAAGGGGAACAGGCAAGTTGCTG